CTGATCAAGCTGCTCAGCTGTCAGGGTTGAGACATGAGGACCGAACTGGCTCCCTGCCCCCATCAATGCTGAGCCTCTTGCCCATATCTGGCCCAGTAGAGGGGATGCTAACAGGGAGTTCCCCAGCCAGGGCCCTGAATCTGCACCTTCAGCATCCCCGGAGGAGCTGTGGAGAGCAAGGAACAGGGGGCCCGTGGGAAGAGAAAACAGGCAGTGGGAGGGGAGAGAGAGGGTAGACAGTCAGCAATGATCTGCCTTTCTCCCCACTCCTGCTTTCTCCCTCTTCTCGTTTGCCTACATTTCTCTCACCCTCTCCCTTTCTTTTCCCATCTTTGGTTTCCTGGAAGCACGTCTATATTTTGCCATTCATTCATTCATTCATTCATTTATTCACCAAAGCATGTATCAAGCACATGCTATGTGCCAGAATGGGCTAGGTATGAGGTGGACAAGGTAGAACCCGATTCCTGGCTCAGAGCACTCAGTCTCAGTCAAGCTGGAAGAGCCTCGGAGATCATGTGCTCATTACTACAGGAGGGAGAAACCGAGTCACGGAAAGGCCATGTGAAATGCCTAAAGTCTCTCAGTAAGTGTCCACACTGGCACTTGGGCTGCTCTCCTCCCCTGACCCATTTCACAACCCAAAGTTATGTTCTTCCTCAGTTGCTTCAAGTGTTGGTTACCTGAATAGGTCTAGGACCCTCCCACAAGGGACAACTAGCCCCTCCCCCTCTTCAGAATAAAACCCCAAACTGAAACCAAGACAGCCTCACATGGCAAGCGGAGGGGAAGGGAAAGGCAGCTCAGGCAGGGGACAGCGTGTGCAAAGGCCCTGCCTATGGAAGAGCAGGTTGGGTGATTCCATCACGGGCTGCATCCACAGCCAGGAGCCAGGCAGGTCAACTGATACCGTGGGGGATCATACACCTGGAAGGTCATCCATTCTTGGGCAACGTCCCTCTGTCTGGGTCCCCTTCCTTCCTTCCTGCTACTTTGTCCATTGAGAAGTCATCCCTGCTTTTTATTGGCCACTGCCACGCTGTCCCCGATTGTGACACCATGCCACACAAGGGAATCAGTGGCAAGGATGTTCTTTCTTCATCCTTGCCTGCCTCATCCCCTAGAGCATAGACCTGGGGTCAGACCCCACCCCCCTCCTCTGCCCTTTCCTGGCTGGGGCTGCCAGCCACTCAGCCTTCCTTTTGCATCACTGAGAGGAGACCATGGTGGGCACAGCTGGCACCCTGGAGACCCTTCCCTAGCATGTGTGAGGCTCAGAGCCAAATACAACTAATCCCAAGGATTCATTTCCTGAAACTCACTGCCCGACCTCAATTTTTTGATGGTGACAAGGAGAGTGAGCCCTTGGAGTCTCAGAAGGAGGAAGGAGACACTGGTGGGCAGGACGGGAGGCCAACCCGCAGATGGGCAACGGGGTACCAGGCTGGGTCCCCCCCGTGGTGACCCTCGAGCTCAGCAGGAACTGAGTGGGATGGGGATCAGGGTTGTTGCGAGTGAAATTCAACATTCTCAAGTGATGGAAGAGGCACAGCCCTGTCCTGCAGGAAATCCCAATTTGATTAAGTCAGTTTCTTTCTAGAACAGCACTGTCTAAAAGAACCTTCCGTGATGGAAATGTTCGAGATCCATGCTGGTCTGTACAGTAGTACTAGCCACATGTGGTATTGAACACTGGAAAATTCCCTAGTGCAACAGAAGAACTGAGTTTTTCACTTATTTCATTTTAATTTAACTGTACATAGCAGCTCGTGGTTCGTGGCTACCGCATAAAACAGCACAGTCCAAGCCAGTCTTTAATGCAGCTCTTCTCACTTCTCAACAGAGAGCGGGCAGGCCCTGAACTCAGAACTTCCGGTACCCAGCAGCCTCTAAGTAGGATTTAACCACATTGTTTCTATGCTATTTGCTTCTATGGTTCCCATCTACCAGGGGTCTTCAAAAAGTTCATGGAAAGATTCATATTATCTTTTAATTCT